GGCCCAAGTCCGCCGGGCTCTCATCCCCGCCCCAGGCCGGCGCCCCGCCCACGCCCCCGCGGACACGCCCCCACGGACTCGCCCCCAACCCGACGGGGGGAGCCAATGAGAGACGGGGGCGGGGTTCCGCAGGGCCACTGGAGTCCTACCGGGCGAGCGCCGCAGGCAGGACTAGCGGAGAACAGAGTCTTCTGGACTTAGGGGACGTCTGTCCCGGGCCATGATTTTGCAAAGAGGGCCGGCCTATCACTTCTCCAATCACTGAATCGGCCGTGAGGCTGCAAAGAACCTATTTTTTAAGGGTCCCGCTACGATTCCACTGCAGACCTTGGATCGGCCGGAGGAGCGCCCGCCTCCTTTCCCCTTGTAATTGGCTGTCTTCCTGGCTTGTTGGCTGATAGATGGCTCAGTGAGCCAATCAGCATGGGCGAGGCTGCAGGGTCTCTGGGAGTTGTAGGCGGCTTCACTTCCGGGCGGGAGCGGGCCGGGACGGTGGTTCGGCGACCCGGCCGTCTCGAGCCGTGTTTGGCCCGGTGCACTGTGGCTTCCGGTCCGGAGGCCCCGGGGGAAACACGGCTCCGCTGGCTGAGGGCCGCGCTGCAGAAGGGGGAGCCGTGGCCTCTGCGCCCGACCCTCGGGGTGGGGTTCCCGCCGCGCGCCTGTTGAGCGGGGGGGCCCCGATGACCGACGTTGGTAAATAGTGCGCTGAGCTACACCGCAGTCTTCTAAATACACCTCCTGCTGTATGTCGTGTTAGAGGAAAGGTATTCGTGACACTTGTTAAAAATGGTAAGGACGACGTCACCCGGGGGGCCCACCGTGACAGGTGTTGGGGTTTGCAGCAGGGAGAGACTGGGCTCAACTCGGACTTCAAGGACAGGTGGAAATTTATGACCTATTTACCTAATATGTTTACTTAAATTTTTAATATCTTAAAATTTTAAAAACTTTAAAAATAATACAAAACATCTATAAAATGATAGTTCAAGTGCTCGTTATTTTAACGTTAAATGCATTAACCGTTAGAAGAAAATGGGAACCTCTCATGACACTGGAGTCTGGCATAAAGCACAGTCACCAAGAGAGGAAAATAGCTAAATTGGACTATATAAAAATTTAAAACCTTTGTGCATCAAAGATGATATGCAGATGGCCAATAAGCATGTGAGAAGATGCTCAACATCACTAATCATTAGGGAAATGCAAATCGAAACCACAATGAGATACCACTTTGGCCCATTAGGAGGGTTGTGATAAAAAAAATAGTCAGTATTGGCTGGGATGGGAAGAAACTGGACCCCTGGTACACTGCTGGTGGGAATGTGAAATGTTGCAGCCAGTATGACAGTTCCTCAAAAAATTAAAAATAAAATTGTCATATGATTCCACAGTTCCACTTTTGAGCATAATTGAAAGCAGGGATTAGAACTCCCGTGTTCGAAACAGTACTATTCATAATAGCCAGAAGGTAGACGTGGCCTACGTGGCCATAGATGGGTAAGTGGATGAACAAAATGTGGTAGGTACATACGATGGAATATTATTCAGCCTTAAAAAGGAGGGAAATTCTGCTGCACTATGTAAATGAAATATGCTGGTCACAAGAGGACNTGAAATATGCTGGTCACAGGAGGACAAATGCGATATAATTCCACTATTTGAAGTACTGGATAGTCAAACTCACGAAGACAGACAGTAGAATGGTGGTTTCCAGGAGGCTGCGTGGAGGGGGAGGGGATTTCTTGTTCAAAGGGGACAGAGCTTCAGTTTAGGAGACGAAAAGACTTGTGGACATGGATGGGGTGATGGTTGGCAAAAAGATGAATGTGTTTAATGCCACTGAGCTGTACATTAAAGGTTCAAATGGTCCATTTTATGTTACGTGTGTTTTACCACAATAAAGACATGACTTGAAAGTTGTTTATCCATGCACCGCTTACTATCATTTTGCATGCCACCTTCAGGGGAAATGGCTCAGGAAGGTGATCTGAGCTCCAGTTCCCCTGCGGATTCCTAGCTGCTAAGGGAGCTGCTTCCACCTCACTGTCCCCGCCCCTTGTTGATCCATTGGGATGCTGATAAGGGGCCTACCTGAAGAGGGCGCTCTGGGATTTCACTGGGACAGTCTGTTTTGGGCACAGCTCTGGCTCATGGTCCCAGTGTGACCACCTCCAGTCTCTCCTAACTGAGCACTGGGCCAGCCAGAGTTCAGAAAGGGTCAGGAGAGGTTTCGTTTGCACTTAACTGTAGATGTGCGCTGGGCGAGTGTTGACCTCTGAGCCTCATTTCCCTCCTCGGTAAACAGGAGCACTACGGCCTGCTCCTGTTGCCTGCCTTCCAGGGAAGTCAGAGCTTCAAGGGGTAGCCCTGGATTACCTTTAATAACTGGCTCAACTCCTGGCCAAGGGAGTGTGTGTGTGTGTGTGTGTGTGTGGTGGAGACGGGGTTGAGTGACAGCTTTGATTCAGTTGTTGCAAAGCCATTACTTCTGTTCTTCCATTGACTTAGCCTTCCCCCTTTCAATCTTTAATGACCTCTTTCAAAAATTACTGTCTTCTTATCTCAATTGGGATGGTAAAGAGAATACACACACACACACACACACACACATATGTCCCCAAGCACAGAGCTTGGCACATAGTAGATGTTTCATAAATGCTCCTTCCCTTCTTCTTGAAAAAAAAAAAAATTTCCCAGCACTTCTTGGGCACCAATATAAGGTTATGTTTTTTCTCTGAAATTTGCACTTTCTTTAGATATTACAATGACAGTTAATCATCTTCTCCTGGAAATGTTTCCTAATCTGGGACAGCTATCTCCTTGTTTTTCCGATGCTGAGGGAACATACCCTCCTTAGGGAAGCCCTGGTCAGGAGCAGCCACCTGCATGCTTACAATGGCCCGACTGCAGTCCTCCCATGCAGTCATCCCTGGGTGGGAGCTCTCTTTCTTACCCATTGGTGTTCTGTATCCCCCCTCCAGAATTCCTTCCCCCCCTGGACAGAACCAGGCCTGCAGTCGGCACTCAGGACATCACTGTCCATCAAGCATCAGAGCCTCTTGTGGTCAGCTTGGTGTCCTTGATTTCACTTGATCCCCAGGGCAGCCCTGCAGGCCCATCTTCAGTTCAGGCAGAGAAACGGGCTCAGGGATGTTACGTATCATGCCTGGGGTGCAGAAGGATCAAGTGGGGACCTGCATTCAGAAGAGACTTTTTCTATGTGGCAAGACTCAGCATAAGGTTTTCTTAGATGCCATCCTTATAATGATCTAGACATACTGCCTTCAGGCAAAAAATATCATGACCCACTGCTTCTCAGCTTTCTAAATAATATCTCTCTTGTAGTCCTCTGTGATCTAAGCCCTAAATTATTCCCTGGAGCTGTCAGTGTGCTCTAGGGACGACCAAAAGTAGAAGATTATTTACTATTGAAAGACTGTGGCCAGTGCACGTGAGAGATTTACACGAGACTCGGCAGTGTACGTACCCGTTCCGACCCAAATGTAACTGTAAACACTTGCTGTGTACAGAGGGAAGATTTCTAATCTGTCACTTTGCATTGTCTCCATAGGTGCTGTGGGTAAATAAAAATATCAACAAACCACAAATGTGTCTTCAAAAGTCCACAGCTTTAGGTTTGACCGGAAACTATTAATTGTGCTTCATTTGTTTTCACCCCTGCTTTTGATCTCGGTGACATTCGCTACGTGTCACACAGACTACTCTCTGTGCTACACTATGTTTCAACAAGAGATTAAATTTTAGCATGTTTTATATTTCATCCTAAATTTTTTTTTATTTTCGAGTGTGTGAAGTCACATTGGTTATGTTTGATAACCCACTTTTGCATGTATTTTCCTATAAATTACAGGGTGTTTTGCCTCTCAGCTCTCACACCATAGTACGGAGAAGCCCCCAGCACGTGGAAATATGACGGATGTCGCATTAGCGTGTGGCTCGGAAATAATAAGGGTTATAAATGACTCACTAGGTATAGAAAACAGGGGGAGACTTACTGGGGAGAAGGAAACAGCGTGCTCTCTTTATGCACAGCCCGAAGAAGGCACTGGGAAAGATATATCGCTGTTCACCTGTGTTTTATTTCTGAGCGGGTTTTATTAACCCCTTTTTATCAATCAAAATAAACTGATTGCCAGGGGATGCAATATCTTCTGACTTTTGAAATTATAAAACAAAAGCAAAGACCACAAACTCATGGATTACATCTCCTGGTAAATAAGAGACAGACTCCCTCTGACGAGACTGCTAAATGGTGTTAAAGACTTTTGGGGCCGTTCCTTAGAATAGGACATTTCATTTAAGGCTAGGAGTGGGCCTTGGGACTCCTCTGGACTCCGGCTTTCCCCTGCCTGTCAGTGACCAGGGATTACAGGACACTGCTCTTTAATATTCATGGCCCCTCATAAAAGGACATATTTCTGTAGGGTAAACACATGTGGCTAATAATAACTCGGGCAGGGAATGATATAATAATCCGATTCAAGGACAGAGGAAGCCAGGTGGCCCGGAATCCACTGATGAGTGCCTCCTGAAGAGGGGTGCAGCCGCTCCTAGCAGTGACGCAGTGATGGCAAACATGGGAACGAGAAAATAAACATTTCTCCCAGCGGGTGAGAGCATCCCTCCTGGCCGTCCCCAGTCTGGGAAGAAGGCCTGAGAGTTTGGGACAATTGGGATAAATCCCCACAGTTTAGAAGATGAGGCCACGCGGGGCTTCCCACGGGGCGGGGCTGAGGATGGGAGGGTGGTGGCCGGGACTGAGGGCCCCCTGACTCTGGTCCTCACCCTCAGGGCGGCCGCGCCTCCCTGCCTGAGGGCAGGCGCCTGGCAGAGCCCTCCAGCCCTGTCTGCGGATCAGCTGGAGGCGGCCTGCACCCCCCCACTCAGATCGCAGTGCCCAGGGCCACCCATTTTAGGGTCTCTCATGTCTGTCCTTTATCATAGGAAGGAGACTCCCCCTTCTATCCCGTTATTCGTGTCTTAGTGCAGATACGAACTGAAAAAAGAATGTATGTCACATGGGAAAGCCTAAGGGTGGTGTTGGCATTGGCATTTCCGAATGAGACACTTCTGAGTAAAGCGTGTGTGTTTCACAGCACCGAGCGAGTAACAGGTTCTGACTGCAACTTGGGCTGGTGATGGAGTCACCGGCCAGTGTTCGCTCCATCTGATGAGAGGACACAGCCACCGCCGAGGTTTAAACTTCAGTGACTTTATCGTGAGAACGTGAAATACTGCCCGTTTATTTTGTATACATCTTACGGGGCAGTAGGCCTCCGGACCATTTAAAAATCACTGGCTTGCATTTTTCCTCTCTTTTCTGTTTGGTTCTAGAGGAAGGAATCTGAGGTCGGCAATCATTCTACAGAAAACTCATCCCAGCCATCCCAATCCAAGCGGGGCAGCCCCGTTTGGAGACCCTCTGAACTGGGAATCCTTTCAGGATTTGAAGCCAATCCAAATCCACCACTTCATTCAGGATGATTTTATTGTCACCACCTTTCTGAGGGCCCCTGACCACAGCATTTTCAGGTAAAATGTTAGACTCAGCACCCTGCAGCTGCACATAAACACACCCAGTGATCACGAATACCCCTGATCCCAGCGTGTCCCGGCTCTGCATCCGGGTGACCCCACGGGGAACTGGCTCTTGGGATAAGCGAGGATGCACGTGGAAGTGTGTGCAGGTGACAACTTGCAGAGTCCCTCCCGCTCCACCCCAGCACGTTCACAGACATAGCACAGACTTGGGAAACTGTACAGGGTCTCCAAAACCCAGCCCGTGGTGACGGGGAGTGGGAGGAGGTGTGGATGTCAGCAGGCCAGGGAGGAAGCCCATGCTCTGGACGGTGGGCAGAGCATCTGCAGAAACAGCACAGATGGTGTAGATTCTGAACTGCGGCCTCGGGTTGAAGGAAGGGAGCGCTCAACAAAGGACGCTCCCTCAGCCTGGAGAGGCGGCTGATGCCACCTGCAGCCTGGAAACCGGCTCTACACTCACCCCCACCGGCTCTGGCCGGCTGCGGGAAATCAGAACTGATGCAGAGGATGGAAAATGGGCAGTCAGCTCTCCAGATGAATTTTTTCCTGATGAATTGTAAACAATTAAAAACATGTTGAAAATTATTTTGATTAAAGAGTTTTTGGAGATTGCAGCAATTGGATGAAGACCTGTGGACTACATTTCTTAGAAATCTATTTCTTCTAGAGAGCACCTGATGGGATGTGGTCACATCTTTCCCCCTCCCCGGTCTATACAACCCCAAAACATTCAATCTAACACTAGGTTGGGTCAGTGGGTACCTGCTAACCCAGGTTGTTTTATCTTCTTAGAGGAAACCGGATTACTGTGAAATCATCCGATAACACACCTCTGAGAAGAAATGAAATGTATTTTTATTGGCGGAGCCAAGATGAAGTATGTCTTGAAATCTGTTTTACAAATAACCTGGCACATAAATTGTCCATTCCTGCTTCAAGATCTTTTTTCACGTTTGAGGAGCTGTCAGGGGTCCCTAATAAACATGAGTCTTATTTAGTTTACCGGATATGTAATTCTTCTTTTCTTTGAAAATAATAATTTTTTTTCAAACAAGTACAGCAAAAATACAACCAATAAAAATCTAGCTATGACAGCATAAACAACCTTTATAGCCAGCACATACAGAGTCCTTCCAATAAAAGCAGTTCCTGGTAAGAAAGACAACACGGAAAACTGCCTGACGTGTGTCAAGATCAAGTACCCAGTTCCTGAGGGTTGACAGAGGAACCCTCATAGCCCTTCCCACTTCCCTAACCTGGGACCTACCCTTGGCTATCAGGGTGACAGTTGTAGCATCCCGGTTACCAGGCTGGCCTGTGGGCTAAGGAGAAGATGAGCTGGATCCAGTGTCCAGTTTATCCCATGATGCTTCGTGAGATGTCCTTCCCAAGGCCCATTCTTGGAGCCACCCAAGCTGATTGACAGTGGGGTGAAATACCCCGGAGGGCTCCTGAGGGCAGGACACAGACCAGTGACCTCTTGGTTCCCCCATTCTGCATCCAGGTAGGTGGTCCCCCAGTGAGGGAGGTGCCAGGGTTGCTGGCAGGGCTGGGACATGGGGATGGGCTTTGGAGAGTCTAGTCCAGGGATAATGCTCTGGGCTTTTGGTCAATCCGTTGGGGCTCCAGGGAGGCGACTTTGCTTGGACCCCTCCCAGCCAGGTACCCAGTGGCAGTCACTGTTCCTGGCCCCTCACAACTCTGGGCCCCCAGCCACCTTTGCCGACAGACTGGGGGGCACTCCTGGTGTCCCCAGCCCGGAGTTGGTGGGGCTCCTCCTAGGGGGCTCTGTTAGCAGGTTCCCAGCAGCAGTGTGGTGCTCATTTAGGCTTTTTATAGTAGCTCCAGAGATGTTATCACAGCTTGAGAACAGAAATTAAAATATGTATCCTTCAGGTGCAAATCTACTGTACTTACAGTTTTACTGTTTCTCTGCAGGGGGGCTCCATTCATCTTCTAACAGTGAAATTCCTAAGGAAATTGATTCCCTCCAGTTGGGGTTATTTTCAACTGGTCTTCGGGGGCAGAGTAATTGGAATTTAAAAGTCTCTCTTAAAAGAAAGGAAACATTAGCCCCTTTACCTGAATAACAACATTCTCAGGTGCCAAGCTTTGCCCATTAAAAGTGCCACCTGAGTCCTTCCCTCCCATACCCCTGTGTCTCTCAGCTCCTCTGGGTGGGGTTTACAAAGAGCCCCCCTGCTGGGAATTCAATGCCAAGGCCTCATCTCCTCTGACCGTCATTCCTCTCCACTCTGGGTTATAGATGCCCACCTATACCTTGGCACTGGGCCCTGCCGCAGAGTGGCACCTGCTTGGCTACGGGAATGAATGATTCTTCACCAGAAGGGCATGGCTACAGTACTTCCTGGCCCATGTAGGAGCAGCACTAGCTGTCATCACCAGGAAGAGTAACTGATTACACCCCCTTCTTTAAAATGGGGTCAGTTCACAGACACAGGTGGCCCTCCTTTGCTGCCAGGCAGGCCCCTGCAGCCCCGTCTGGAGCTTCACTCTCCCAGACGGGGACTTCAGCTCCTAGGACCCAGAACCCCAGCATCCTGGTACCCATGCTCCGGGCCTCTGAGTGCCACATAGCACCTAGGGGAACAAACCCCCTCATCCTTCTCAGGGCTGTGCTGATGTTTGGGGAACGCTGTTCCGGGTTCCTGACCAAGAGGGTCCTGGGAGCCCAGGAGCAGACCCTGCCCTTGGGCACTTAAGACCAAGTGTCACTCAGTTCCCCAGCTCCAAAGAGGGACTAGGATGCGACCCAGTGATGCTGACATGGAGACAGCAGAATGTCAGTGAGTGCCTGGGATGAACCCATGTTGGAGACAAGGCCCAAAACAGCCCCACTATCTTGCTTTGCTGTGTTTCTGAACTTTTGAACAGGGGCATAAGGGGAAGCCAAGTCCAGAATATTCTCTAACAGGTTAAGTATGATGAGTTTTTCCTTCTGGGCCCAAATGAGCCCAGAGAGAGCGAGCACTGGGCTCCACTGTGTATCAACAGCATGCGGGATGGGGAGAGGGGCGGAGAAGAGCCTGAGGCCTCAGGGGACAGCTCTGGGGTGAGTCCTGGCCCTGGCCCTTCCCCTGCTGTGGGCCTAGGCAGTCTCCTTGGCTACAAAGTGGGGGTCGGCAGTGGTGTTTTGACATGTCAGCTGGAGGAAGCAGTGATAGCAAATGCAGACAGATGTGTGCGAGGGCTTTGGAAGCTGAAACCCACTGTACACCCATATATACCCCTATACACCTGTAACTCAGATGCAGCGGTCCCCCAAAAAGGTACCTGACCTGAGTGGAATACTCTCTGTTGCCTAAGTCAGAGTATGTTAAAGCTCAGAGGTCATCAGCTGACGTCAGGACTGTTTATATCAATAACGGTAAGTGGAAAGGGCAGGGGGCAGACTGGAAATCTCCAGGAGTTTTTCCTAGCTTGACGTGGGGAGTGTGCTCTGAAGCTGGGGCTTGCTGCTTTCAGCAAATCCCATTTAAAGGAAAAATCTGGGTTTTTAAAATAGTCACATGGAAAAGGTGATTACTGCGTTTTCTGAAAAAGATTCCTCTGGCACATTGCCCTGGTGCATCACAATCGCATTACTTTTAAAATGACAACATCGTACAGGTATGCACAGGTTGACTTCACTTACACTCCCATAACTCGCACACCCTCTCCCAGCTGCGGGGGGACCTGCAGGGAGGGTACAGGGCCCGGAGCCCCAGCAGCAGCTGCAGCAGCCGGAGAGCCGGGACCCCCGAGGCTCAGGGGCGGAGCGCGGCCGGAAGCCCCGCCCCCGGCGGCCCGGTCCCGGATGGCGCCT